CATCTCATCACCTCGCCTCACTTCGAACTTCCAGGCCCCACTCAGCGTTCAGCGCAACTGTAGCTCAGCATTGCGCAGTGCTTCCATTGCACTTCACGCATGCAGCACAGCCGCCGATATTATTATGGTGCCTACACCCACTCAAAGCCCTTCTTACAATTCCTGACATCCAAAATAAGAAAAAGTCGTTGCATCTAGCCCTGAAACAGGCCACATTACTTTTCCTGCAAGAGAAGCACAAAGAAGCACAACGGACGCCTTCACATTTACACGGATGGCTTGGTGTCTTCAGTAAGCTCTGCAGGGGCGGTGGTTATTCCCGCGAGGCACATCACAATTAAATTCATGACATCGCATTTGACGTCGTCGACAGCTGCAGAACTTGCAGCCATTCGTGCAGCTCTGGAGTTTATAGTGAAAGAACCTTCGGGAATTTGGTCGATCTTCTCGGACTCGAAGGCATATCTTCAATGTCTTATATCACCCTTTCGCCATGGACCTAATGAAAAGTTAGTAGCTGAAATAAGGCTTCTTCATCACCAAGCAACCGAAAAACAGCACAGCACAGTGTATCAGTGGATACCAGGTCATTGCGGTATATACGGCAATGACCGCGCAGATGAGGCCGTTAGATCTGCACACGATGGTACCCTATACACAGCCATTCCGTTCTCAAGAACCGACGCAGCTACAAGATTTCGTTCGTTTGCACGTGACCTCACACTGGTACAGTGGAACTCAACAGACTTCACAAACGCGCGCTTGCATAACTTGGATCCCAATCTGCAGCTTCGTCTTCCCCCAAGGATATCTCGAGCTGAGGAGACTCTTCTATGCCGCCTGTGGCTTGGAGTGGCCTTCACGAACGCATACTCTTATCTCATTGGGATGGCCAGCTCTCCTACATGCACTTACTGCAGTTGCGAAGAAACCATGGCGCACCTTCTGTGTGAGTGCACCCATTTCAACGCGCAAAGACAAGAATTCACTGCAGCTCTGGATAGACTAGACGATCGGCCTTTGTCGGAACAAAGGATTCTGGGTCATTGGCCGAGCCCATCCTTAGCCCAGAAGGCTTTGAAAGCTTCGCTGCGCTTTTTGCGGACAACTGGCCTCAGTGACAGACTTTAGTGTCTTATACTCTTTGATGTTCTTTATTCTTTATTCTTTATTCGAAGTATACCTGCAGCGCCCGAAGGCGTTATAGCAGGGGGGGTTACAGATTCGAAAGAAACAAATTTTCATTTACAGCAGACACTTGTACACTTATGAGCCCATTCCACTCATGTATTGTTCTGACAAAAAAAGAATTTGCTAAAATTCCAGTCCTGGGACCTGCCTTTCCTCGGTCGCAATTTTTTTTTGTAATTTCTCCCTCTCTTCGCAACATTTCCTTTTAACATCCCTAATTCCCCTCACCCCTTTCCCCAGCACAGGGTAGCCAGCCGGTCTAAGAACTGGCTAACCTCCCTGTCTTTCCGCTTAAACTTTCTTTCTCCTCCTCCTCCGCAGGCATGAAAGATACGCCTCGTATCGCCTTCCCTTGGTGTATTGGCGACATTTGAATTCGAGGTAACTTTACCGGGAATAAAACAAGGCATAACTAAAAAAACACGTGACGCTGAAATCTTTACACGCCATCCTTCGGAAAGTTGACACTGACGACCGTTGTGGATGTAAAAGCGGCGGGCGAAGCTGGACACAAACTTTACAGCTGTGACTTGTAAGATGTCCTGTAGTGTGTCTTTCGATCCTCTGAGGAGGGAGCAATTAGTGATTATGTTTGTCTCATGTATAGGTGTAAGACTTCCGAATAGAAAGAATCATGACGCTCTCATTGAATGGGCGAGTTTTGAGGCCCTTAAATGCTAGTGGATGATATCTTAATACATTCAAATTGTGATTCTCTCTTTGTTCAGCTGTGAATGGGAGAGAACACACTACATGCTATACGGTGCAGTGTCTCGGCAGTTGTTTGTATGTATTTATACAGCTCTAGGCATTGTTTTTCCACCAAGTAATTACCTTTCCGACAGCGATATAGGGTCTTAAGACATTTTCGTGACGTGGCGTACGCGACAGGTTTGGCTGGCTTCTTTACAAACAGTTCTGCAATTTATACCCACCGCGTCTTGGTGGCGATGTATAGTGGAATATACAACATCTGCATACGCTTGCCGTTGTGTTCGCTTCAAAGGACGTGTCTTCGTTCTTGAGTAAGATTTCGTGGAAACATTGCTCTTTCGCAGTTCAAGGTGATTGGTTTGTGGCGTACGGCACTAATATAACACAATTTTCGAAACTATGAACTCCTTTCACTGTTGACTGTGGAGCAGCCAAAAATTATTTTTAAAGAATGAACTGCGCACATCTATTTGTGCATAAGTGATTGGACGAAGAAATCGCACGATCAAGAAAATCACAGCGTAAATGTTAACATTGGACATCCCTTGTGCGACTCTAAATATGACATCTATCGCACAGATGATAATGTACAAAACCTTTACAAGGACTATTGTGAGTATTTTCTGGGAATTTGCCCCGCCACGGTCGTCTAGTGGCTAAGGTACTCGGCTGCTGACCCGCAGGTCGCGGGATCAAATCCCGGCTGTGGCGGCTGCATTTCCGATGGAGGCGGAAATGTTGTAGGCCCGTGTACTCAGATTTGGGTGCACGTTAAATAACCCCAGGTGGTCAAAATTTCCGGAGCTTTCCACTACGGCGTCTCTCATTATCAAATAGTAATTTTGGGACGTTAGACAAATCAAATCAAATCAAATCAAATTTATTTTCCCAGAAAGAAAGAGGTTCTGGAGAGGTTCACTGGCTAAAAGCTGTTTATGGACAGCTTGACGAGGCCAGTGAACCCTATACAAGGCAGGTGGGATAATGACAAAGATGTGTATAACAATAAAGACCATTAGCTAACATTACAATACCAAATACGGCGTAATAAAAACATATATATATATATATATATATATATATATATACATTCCTACGAAACATCCTGATACCAGCATAGCACAGAAGATTACATGGACGCGAGCAAAAAGAAAAAAACAAAGAAAAAAACAAAAGAAAAATACAGCAACCATAACACCATTACTACGAAAAAATAAAATAATAAAAATAAATAAATGATGAAAATATCAGGGAAGATATATACAATTTTGCTCCTTGTGTATGTGCTGAATCATACAATGTACATCACATGTCAGACGAACAAAATTATACAGACAGAATTATATCATATAACCTGTTCGGTACAGCATGGATGCCCGCACTGAAAGAAAAATGAAACCCCACAAATCAATAATTTTCTGGGAATTTAGCTAGATGGCCGAACACTGCAAGTGCAAATAACATCACATATTCCGAGCTTTTCTTGAACATGTTTATGCCAGCCATAATCGAGCAGCATCCGAATTTAAGTAGCGCATTGCTCCAGTTTTATACCGATGTCAATTATATGGAAGCTCTCGGCTGACTGCCGTAACCGTCAAGTCCCGGATATGTATGAGCATGTATATATAGGAAAACTGACTGGATTCCCAGAGAATGCAAGTTGTTAAGGGGTAGACGGAAAGTCAGGTGTGCAGATGAGATCGAGACGTTTGCGGGCATAAAAAGGCAGTAGCAAGCACAGGACGGAGTTGACTGGAGGAACATGGGGGAGGCCTTTGTCCTGCAGCGGGCGTAGTCAAGCTGCTGCTGCTGCTGCTGCTGCTGCTGATGATGATGATGATGGTGACGTAGAAAGATTCGAAGGCACCCACGAGATATTGGAACCAGTCAATCCTCACTCCTGAGCGCACTGCATTAACCAAATAGACCACGCCTCTCATCTTTCCCACTGACGACGAGCTATGTAATACGCCATTTCGACTGGCTTACTGTGAATGAGCTTAAACACTCTTGAACAAAGCATGTACTTTGTTTAAACAAACCGTACATGCTGTCCTAAAGATTTATGCGTCCGGTGGCTTGAGCAATATAGGGGTGGGTTCCCTGGAGCACATACAATTGGATGAAAGGGGCATTCCAAAATGTCTCCGGCTCCACTTTCACTATGAAGCAACACGAAAAATTGCTCGCATCAAGTCCAGTAATATTTGTGAAGCTGTTGGTCCTCTCATACCTGTGAATTCGGTTCCCATCGAAATGCGCGCCGTCACCATCACTTTAGACAAACAAACTCAGCCCGCTGCCTCAGATGAGTTGTGGCGATGCTTGCGCCGTTAGAACATCGCGCGGCTTCGTCACCCTGACAGTGTACATCTCACCGAAAACATTGTGAACTGACGTCATGAGCTTGTTGCTGCGCAACGTCTGGGCAGTGTGCCTACAGGATGTGCCGGTGGTAGTCCCTGCAGACTTCAATGTTAATGTACTTCGACGTGAAAACCAGTGGCTTGTCACGTTTCTCGATGCCAAACTTGGACTTCGCCGAACTATTCCTGCCAATTTAAGCACAATCGAAAGACACTGAAAGCCCTCTTGTGTTTTGCAGGATGACGGGTTTGTGTGAACGCCTCAGACTTGCGGTGGAGTTCTACACGGTGTAGTGAATTGGCTGTCTGTCTCTCCCTTGTTATTTTCGTTCTACTCCCGCTTTCTCTTCTTTCTTGTCTCCTTGGCTAATCCCCGAAAGCAGGGTAGCCAACCGGAGGTCATTCTGGTTGAATTCCCTGCCTTCTCCTTTTGTCTGCTTCCTTCCTTCATTTCAAGCACAATCGACCATGTTCACTACATTTCGTATGGTTCCCAAGTCTCCTAGCCCGATGTGTTGCTATCGCATTCATCGCTTCGGCCTTGAGCCGAAAGTGTGACTTTTGTTTTATTTCACGAAATGTATTCGTGCCATTTCACGATAGAACGCATCCCCATCGGCATCGGCACGGTCTTTTTTAGCTGCGGTGACCGCGTGCTGCACGAGACGAAAGAGAACTACCGGTCAGCCGCCATTGCAGAGCGCTTCCGACGCCAGCGAGAGAAGGATGCATCATTTCATCCAGCAGCTTCGGCACGGCTGGCATTTGTCTCGCAACCGGGGGGTCCAAGATGGAGGTAGCGGACGGAACCAGGTCTCGTCGACAGGCCCCAACGAGCCCACAGCTAGCGGCCATGGCAACACGGTCCAACCGGCGCAACTCCAGACACTGGAGTCCACGATCGTGGGCCTTGCCGTGGACCTGTACCGGCGGCTGGTGGTTCACGTTGCTCACAACCACGCCCACCATGACGTGGCCTGCGGTGGTGAGAGTAACTACGCCAGGGAGAACGTGATCTTCTCGCCGGTTACCGTGGCCGCCGCGCTGTCCATGACGTTGGCCGGTGCCCGCAGCAAAACAGCCGAGGTACGTTTCCCGCCAGAGTAGGTCTGGACCGAGTGCGGTCTTTTTGATCTCTTTAACCTCATTGCACACGCTAGTGCAAGGCCTGCCAATTCACTATCATTAAATACGAGAAATAACGCGAACCGCTGGACGAGGTGGACAGTGTTGCAACCTGGGTTTGCGGTACTGGAGATCCGGGATCAAGATGTCGATGAAGGAGGAGGTTGAACTTCTTAGAGAGGGTTTATTTACATTATTTACAAGGCACGGGCTCTCTGGCCCGAAGCTCTACATTGAAAAAAGCTGTGTATTAAGCCAGCTCCGTGAACCATACCAAGCAGCCCGCGAGGGCTGATTAAATACAGTTTCATCTCCCCAGATCCCTAGATCAGAGAACAGGCCCCTAACGGTACTGTCCGATAACATGTCCCGCGGCACACACGAGTGTCATTATGCCGGCACCACCCCCAACAAACACACATACACAAACCAAACACGTGTATGTTCCCGGCGATGCTGCCTCCTCCGGCGAATCTTGCTTGAGCGGGGCGAAACGAGTCTGCCATCTCGCCGCTCGGGCCGAGCACCCATGCTTTGTCGAAAGGTAGTCGCGGTCTATAGGCGCCTCCGAGGGGCCATGCCTGGACATCTGGTGCTGATTTGAGCAGCAGCGGCTCAGTAGTCGGAGACGCACAACGACGATAGTTATAGCGCGAGAACAAAACGAAGACACAGAGACAAGAAGGACACGAAGGACACAATAAGGACACGTCATGCCATACTAACTAGCCCAAGATGCCACACTTCTACAGAGACGCACAGCGTGGTGGTCCGACGTCCGTAATCGTCGGAAGCTCGGCATTGTGGCTTTTACCGGGGCACGAAGAGCACGAGGGCTCGTGTCCTTCGTGTCCTTCTTGTCTCTGTGCCATCGTTTTGCTCTCGCGCTATAACTATCGTCATGCCTTATACCAACTAGGCCAAGCTGCCACACTCCGTAGAGTATTTTCAGCCACGCAGCACCCAGCACATAGAAACAGCAGGGCGTCTTGGCACTCCTTTTAATCTCCACAAAATGAAGCGGCTTCCTTTTTTCTATTCTGGCGGCCGTGGCAAAAAAGATGGTCCGCCAAACGCACAGCACGGATACGTGCTGCCGTTTTCACCCCGCTGCGCGGTGCTTTGCACTGCAACTCGTTATTTTTATGGACCAGCCGGCCCAAAGTAGCACTCCGTCGCTTTACATTCGGTAAATGCTTGTGGTCGATATTCAGCCGCGGGAACGTGCAGATCGTATGCTTCGACATGCCGCTGCCGTTCAGACTGTTGTCGCCTCGGCGACAACTCTCCTCGGCTTCGAAGGGAAAGCTACGGGAGCGGAGGACTTGCTGTCAGTGGGCTCGTCTGCAGGAGGTTGCCCTGTACCTACGGACACCACTCGTTTAGGCAAGTTTGTCCCCGTTTTTGGAGTTTCCGAGATTTTCCTATCAACCCCGCGGTGGCAAGGCTAGGCCTATCTCCTAGGCCAAGCCTGGCCTGGGCCGCGTCGCCCGGCGTCTGACTTGCGCCCGGTGACCGTGGGTCTTGTTGGGCTGAAGATGGAGTACTACGTCGAAGGGGAGACTATAACACCCGAAGATTTTGAAGCGGGAGAGTGGGCTCCAGTGCTGAAGGCACAGGACCGATTTAAGAAGACTCGGCATGGCGACAACGCCAAGAGTAAGCCTTGCGAGACGCAGGCCGGCAGCGACGGGCGCAAGACGCACGGAGCGCAGCAAGACAAGCGGGGGAAAGCGCCGGTATGGAAGAAACGCGGACCGTTTCTCAAGTTGCCAGCCACGGATTTCAAGATTGTGTACAGGCCCCAGAACTGGGACTTGAGTGTTGTGACAGCGAGAGAACTCGGATGTGCACTGAGAGCAGCAGCGCGTCTAACGAGTGCGATTGCCGCGGAAGAAGACATTGTGCGGGTTAATGGCACAAACAACACGTTGACTTTGAGCACACCGTGCATAAATCGCAGTGGGGCATATGCGACTGTGAAGACGCTCAAGCTGGGTGATCGTGACCTGCCGGTTTCGGCGTTCGTGGCGCCGTTGGAGAACTCCGTGCGGGGAGTGATTTTAATGCTTATGATGGATGCCCAGTGGAAGAAGTTCGGGCGGGATTCCTGAAGAAGAATGAAGGCATAGACATTCTGGACGCGAGACCTCTGGGAAAGTCAAAGGCGATTCAGATTACGTTCGGGGGAAAACACATACCCCGGCAGATTACTTACTGGAACTGTCTGTACGCTGTGATCCCGTACAGAAATTTAGTCGACACCTGCTACAACTGCAGACGAGTTGGACATCGAGCGGACGTTTGCTATCGTCCGAAGACCAACCTATGTCACCGTTGCGGGAAGGACCATCCTGCCCCGCCAGAAGGAGAGCCACCTACGTGCACGCCGGTCTGCATCGTGTGCCATGGTGCGCATCACACAGGGAGCCGGAACTGCAAGTTTCGCCTGGCTCGCAAGCCACCGACAGGCCGACAGCACAGCATCGAAAGAGAGAGCGAAGCTGGCAACGATAAGCGTTCCTCGAGGGCCACGGAGCGGTCACCGAGGGGTAAAGAAGGCAGAAGCAAAAGCAGGGACCGGTCGAGTTCCTTCCCGCCATTGCCAGGGCGCGGGGGCGGCCAAGATGGTGGACGAGCATCCAGTACCAACAGCTGCGCACGCGACACCAACAAAAAGGTGAGCTTGTCAGGCACGGCCTCCCAGAACGAAACCGCTCGAGAGAGGGAGTTAGCAGCGCTGGTTCAGCGACAGGGAGACTTGATTAAAAGAATGGAAAACAGAATTGCAGAGATGGAACGCGCACTTAGAAACGACCAACGGCAGGGGACACAGGCACCAGCAGTGCAAGGCCTACAGAAAGCGACGCAAGAGGCGTCTGCTCGCGTACAGGAGAGTGCAGCTATGGAAGTGGAGAATCGAGGGACAGTGAAGAGACCACTGCCGGGGGATGAGGTAGCTAACGCAAAACGATTAGCCGAAACGTCACCAGTAGACATGCCACAGCCTGTTTTTAAGGTCATTAGTCTTAAGTCGGATGTAACAACACTTGCGGATAAAGTAGGCAAACAAGGGAAAAGACAGGATAGGTTGGAGGCTCGAGTCGAAAAGATCGAAGCCAGATTAGACACAATAGAGGAGCGTCTCGGCATGCTCTCCACTGAATTTAAGGATTCCCAAACCCAGGTCATGGGCATGTTTCAGCAGCTTCATACTCTATTGGAGGCAATACTGCCTCCCGTGGGTGGCCAAGTGTCATTAGTCAACCTGGTGCCTCATCATGGCGCCTCGCCAGCAAATTGAGGTTTGGCAGTGGAACTGCAGGGGCTTTCGTCAAAAGCGGGGTAACCTGCAGTTGCACGTACAAAATCTGGACAGTAAACCAGACATAATAGCCTTACAGGAGGCTAGTGGTTCAGTAAAATTACCTGTATTTAAGGCATTTACAGCGCCAGGAACTGATTCAAGGGGCGTATCACGCGTCTTCACAGCCGTGCTAGTCCATCGCAACATCACTGCCATTCAGCATTCCGTAGATAGCAGCAGGGAAGACTATGTCTTGCTTGAGATTTTGCCTAAACGAAAGTATGAGAAGAGTCTGTTTTTACTTAATGTGTATAGTTCTCCAAAAGATAAAGGATTGGGCTTGCCACAACTCCTGATTCAAACTCAACGGTTAGCAGCTCGCGCTCCGCTTATAGTGGTAGGAGATTTCAATGCGCCTCACCCGGAGTGGGGTTATATTCGAGCCAGCCCAAAGGGCAATCGGCTTTGGCAAGTTGCCCGGGATCTGCGTTGGACGCTGTTAAACAATCCACAAGATCATACGAGGATAGGCAACAGCGTAAGCATGGATACCTCCCCAGACCTTACGTTTTTTAGAGGCATCAGTAATGCAAAGTGGATTAACACGGGACAAGCGCTAGGAAGTGATCACTATATCCTTTCCACGACGTTTAGCGCTGCGAAGCATAAAGACAAAGTGAGGGGGCATAGAATTACAGATTGGGACAGATTTAGGAAAAACAGAGCAGACACTGTAAACGGGAAAATTAATGACCTGGATGCATGGGTACAGGCGCTCAAGGAGGATGTAAGTAATACCACGGTAGAAGTGCCAGTCGAGCAGGAGGAGTTTACCGCTGACTCGAGACTATTACACATGTGGGAAGCGCACGCGAGTCTCTTGAGAAGGTGGAAGAAGCAAAAACATAATGGCGTCCTTCGCAGAAGGACTGCCAAGTTAGAACGTAAAATCGAAAATTATACAATTGAGTTGCAAGCCAAGCAGTGGGGCCAGATTTGTGATCGCATGAATGGACAGTTTGGATGCAAAAAGACATGGCAGCTGTTAAGGCATCTTTTGGATCCGGCAGCAACAAAATCGGCGCAACGGGGGCAAATGACTCGGTTAATGCATCAATATGAAGGCACAATTGGAGAGTTTATACAGGAACTCCGGAATCGGTACATAACTGATGGAGTAGACGGTTGCTTACCACACTACTCGGGGGTGGAAAACTCAGACCTAGATGAAGAGTTCACAATTGCGGAGGTGGAGTTTGCCATGGGGCAGCTGCGTACTACGTCTGCCGCAGGTCCGGATGGAGTTACTAATAAAATGCTGAGAAACCTAGATTTCAAATCGGTCGGGGCTATCACTGACTTGATAAATGAGTATTGGGTGGCCGGGGAGATCCCAGCACAATGGAAGCATGCTAGGATTATATTTATTCCGAAGCCAGGCAAGAAACTCTGCTTGGAAAACCTGCGCCCCATATCGCTGACATCATGCGTGGGCAAATTGATGGAGCACGTGGTTCTCAACAGGCTTCAGAATTATGCAGAAGACAAGGCCATCTTTCCCCCAACTATGATAGGTTTCAGGGCCAATTTGTCCACACAGGATGTCATGATACAGTTAAAACATGATGTAGTCAATCCCGGGCATGGCACGGGCACCAAAGCTGTATTGGGGCTTGACCTGAATAAAGCTTTCGACAATGTTTCGCATGAGGCAATATTGAATAACCTATCGAAAATTGGCCCAGGGGTCAGGACATTTCGCTACATCAGATCATTCTTGGAGGGCCGAACCGCAGAAATTTCAATAGGAGATATCAAATCGGACTCATTCGCGTTGGGAGGCAAAGGGACGCCGCAGGGTTCAGTTTTGTCACCGTTCCTGTTTAACATCGCCTTAATTAAAATACCGCCGAGGCTGGAGGAGATACCGGGACTCAAACACACATTTTATGCAGATGATATTACTCTATGGGTAACCAGGGGTAGTGACGCGCATCTGGAAGAAACACTGCAACAGGCAGTTAATATTGTCGAAGAGTTGGCAGGGGAGGCGGGACTTTCATGCTCTCAGCCAAAGTCCGAGCTCTTTGTGGTTCGGGACAAACCCAGAGGGCTACATGCAAGACACTATATTCCGCCACCGCCGTTAGAGGTAAAGGTAGGGGGTAGGCCGGTAGCTGAAGCTCAAACGATTAGAATTCTTGGCCTATATCTGCAAACTAACAGGAAGAATAGGGTGGCCCTTGAAAAACTTAAGACCACGGTCAATGCTACTGTCAGGCTAATCAGAAGAATCGCTAACCGTAAAAGCGGGGTTAAAGAAAAAGAACTCTGTAAGCTGGTACAGGCGTTTGTGCTCAGCAGGATTACTTACGCGACACCTTATATGAAGTTGGATGCCGCAGAAAAAGGTAAGGTCGAGGCTATGATCCGGCAAGCTTACAAGGCAGCGCTTGGGTTGCCTAACAACGCGCCTACAGAAAGGCTGTTAAAACTAGGGGTACACAACACCCTGGATGAATTATGGGAGGCGCATCTGGTGATGCAGCACGCTAGGCTTTCGACAACCAAAGCGGGCAGGATTATATTGGAAAGGATTGGCATTGGAGCAGAGGCTCCCACTGGGGACACTAAAATTCAGGTGCGGCGAGAGTTACATAAGGCCCTGTACATAAAACCTTTGCCTAAAAATATGCATCCAATTCACCATACGCAGCGCAGGCAGGCAAGAGCCAGAGCTTTACACGTTGAGTACGGCGAGTACAAAGCAGCAGTATATACAGATGTTGCGGAATATAAGGACAAAGACGCTTTTGTGATTGTGGTGGTGGACAGGCGGGGGCGCTTGATCGCTTCTGGATCGGTCAAAACCCGCTCCTCGGAAACTGCAGAGGAAGCGGCAATAGCGCTAGCTATAACTAATTCGCAGTCAGATTTGATTTTCAGTGATTCAAAGACAGCCATCCGAAATCTGGCGAGGGGCAGAATATCGGCGACCGCTGCACGATTTCTGCATAGGGCCACGGGACGAGAAATGAGAGAAATAGAAATTGTCTGGGTACCAGCACACTCTGGGAACCCTGGGAACGAGGCGGCTCACCTGAATGCTCGAGGTTTCGTCAGCCGGGTAGGTGAGCCGCCAGTTCCGGGGAGGTCCGCGAGAGATGGGCTGGTGTCCTTTCATGACATAACGAATCATTATAAACTAGAGCGGAGGTTTTATCCGCCCCCGCACAAGCGGTTGACTAAGGCGCAGGAATGCGTCTGGAGAAAACTGCAGACGCGATCTTTTCCCAACCCTTACGTGTTGAACAAAATGTACCCTGAGGAGATTAAGCCGCAATGCAAATGGTGTCAGGCTGTGGCAACATATGATCACATACTTTGGGAATGTAGCATAGTGCCGCCGCCGGTGGATATTATGCGTGATCCCTCTCTTGAGCACTGGGAGGCCGTGTTGACCAGCTCAGACCCAGTCGTCCAGTTAAGGGTCGTGGAGTGGGCCACACAGGTCGCCGCCAACCTTGGGTTGATGGCCATCTAACACGGAATCATCCTCAGTTGCTTTCTGACGAAATAAAGTTTTACCATCCATCCATACGGGAGCGGAGCTTCCGCGTGCACATGTAGCCCTACGCCAAGTGAGTTCCATTCGGCGTGCGTTTTATAACGCCGTAGAAAGTGACGAAGACGCACTATCAGTGCTTCGTGTAGACGCAGACACCGCTTGGCGTTCGAGGTACACGTGAAAAAGGTGGGACTTCCTCGCGCGTCCTTCAGAAACACTGTCAGGCTAAATACAATTTTCTTCTTGGTGTGACCTGCGTCCTGTCTAAAATAGGTGCGCGCACAAAATAAAGAAGTAACTTCCATATTTCACCTTAGAAACGGTCGCTATTGTGGAAGCACATTCACTGGTGGCAAGATGCGCGTGATTTGTAACCTTCGCTTCCATGCCAAGAAAAGTTGTCGCCAACTTAATAGTCACGTCGACGTCTCTTCCTTTATTGCAACGTCCTGAACTTGCGTAAACTAGTTCTCTCTCTCTCACAAAAAAGTAATAGTAGCTACCTTTCTAATATGAAATTATACGTTACTCAGTAGAGAGCTTTAGAATAACGCAAGGCTTGCGGGCGTGGCGCTAGCGTTCGTCACTTAACAAGAGCCCGCAAGATGTTAACGTGCGACGCGTGAGCAACGCAATTGCGAAGCTGTGCGTGGCGTTGTTCTAAAACTCTCTATAGCCACGGACTTTTCTTGGCAGTGCAGCACAGACAAAGACTACACAGCCAAATGGCACGTATTCTACCGCCAATGTAGTCCTACAATTGTCTTTATTTTCGACGTGAGTTGTGAAAAATACTGCCTTCATTTTTTGCATGTAGCCCTTTGACACAGGGCGCTGCTCTTGCCAAATAGATATTTGTATTTTAATTTATTCACTGCCACTTCACGCATTTCAACGCGTGAGAAAGCCGCATCTTTTACGAATATATATTCCTCGAACGCCAAGCGGCATCTATGTCGATATGATACGCTGGTCACACGCAGTCATGACTTTCCACAGCGGTATACGGAACGCATGACATTCTGGACTGCTCCGCGTAGTAGTACATGTGCAGAAGCTCTGCCCTTTTAGCTTTCCTTTCATCGCCAAGAAAAGCGTTCCGCGAGCATAGTAACTACAGGTACTCTCTAACAACGGCAAGCACAGTCGCAGCGCAGGAGTGTAAAAGGGCGACCAGTCATTTGTGATACGGTAATCTGATTATTTGTCGAAGTGGCTTATCCTTCCGCGTCACCTCATTTCGTTGATGCGTGCATACGAGTACATGACCTTCGCTGTTACCTTTAGCTAAAGAAGTGTCGCGCTACTGGGCACGTGTATCCAGGTTTCGACAGAACAGTCCACGCCCCGACATAATTGGTGGAAACTGCTTGAGGGTAATAAGTATTGCGTAGTGTTATGGGTAGAAAGAAAGATGGATAGAAAAATTGGCCTTGTATTTCCGTGCTTCGATGCAAAGGACGTCAAAGACTATAGTCTGGAGGTGCTGCGTGAGATATGGCGCCATCTGGCAGTAATGTGGGAAAACAAAATTTTTTTAGAACGCAGAGCCACTAGTAGGTGGCAGCACCGGGTCATTTTAATTAAAGCCCCTGAATTTTTTCTTTAGGGAAGCGTATAGGTAACACCTGTTTTATCATTCATAGCGTCGCATCAGTGAGGCGCAATAAACAATTCGGTCTGTTTGAAATACGTATTCGTGCACTTTCTAAATAAAAAAGACCCACTGCCTGCCAGTTACGTTCTGGCGTTACACCTCAAATGTCTGTAATAATTTTTGATTAACAATGTTCACATGTAAGAACGAAGCCACCTGATCGAGATAGGTGGGCGTTGAGCAAGGGGTTAAAATGAATCAATCACCAGACAGACCAACAGAAAAATGGACAGGTAAAATTGTTTCCGTCAATTGACTGCGATAGGCACGCGTGCTCGCCAAGCTTCGGTTGTTCTCAATTTTCGATACGCTAATTAATTTTTATAGTGCGCCTTAAAGAACAAACTTCTTATTCTGGTAGAAATTCCAAAAATATGACACACTTACAAAAAGAAACAAAAAAACTCGAGGTTAAGTAAGGTTGGGTTAGACTAGGCTGTAGGAGTGCAGAATTTTTTTTTACCTATTCTGCACTCCTTAACTCGCATTTCCGATGGAGGTGGAAATGTTGTAGGCCCGTGTGCTCAGATTTGGATGCAAGTTAAAAAAACCCAGGTGGTCCAAATTTCCGGAGCCCTCCACTACGGCGTCTCTCATAATCATATGGTGGTTTTGGGACGTTAAACCTCACATATCGATCGATGCACTCTTTAACTCCATCCTGCGTGCCGGATGCAGGAGATCGCTTCCGCTCTGCGCACCCCAGACGACGGCCATATTCACGGCCTATTAGCCACGGAGCTGGCGCGCATCACGACGCCGGCGGCGGGGATCACCTTCAAGACGACGTGCCGCCTGTACAAGGACCAGCGCTGCCCGATCCACGAGAGTTACGCGACATTCCTGCGTGACAAGTACGGCAAGGGCATCGTGCACGAAGTCAACTTTTCCGGCGGTTACTTCGAGCTGCTCGACGAGATCAACGAGTGGATCGTCAAAGAGACCAAGGGCAAGATACGTGGTCTGCTCACGTCGGACGGCTTCGGCCCAAAGACGCAGCTGGAAATGGTAACCGTGGCCTACTTCGACGGTGCCTGGCAGGCACCCTTTCAGGTATACTTCCGAAGGCAGGGCACGGATCACTTATATCGTATATGCGTTCGTAGGTTCTCCAATGGCCGGGAGGGTGCAAAGATCAATTTCAATGTCGCCGCGCTCATTGGTCGAGGCCAAAGGCACATTAGATGCTTCACATTGGATGAAGAAATTTAAATGAAGGGATGATGGGCTTCTCTAAATAACCTGCCTTTGGTACCTGCCTTTAAAGAGCCCCTAAACTACCTGCATGCTCTCCGTGTTTTTGCTCTATCGAGAACAGCTGACCTGTATGATTAGAGGATGTCACGAGGAACAGGTGGTCTGTGAGCGAACAAGAGCCTGTTTTATGCTATAGCAGATGCAAGCACTTGCGTTTTCACCTCGAACGCTGGGAAGAGCATTTGGAGATGTGGATTGGCGATAGACTAGCCGAGCTAACGCCGTCTAGCGAAGGAAAGAGCGAAACGAGGAGGAAACGGAGGCACAGCCGCCAGGGTTGTATAAGCCCGTCAACAACTGCAATGTCCCCAGCTACATTTTGAACCTCTGCGTGGCTTAGCGGCGCTTTGAATCGTAATGTAAACGCTTCTTCGAATGCCCCGCTAATGGCGTTCAACTGACATTATCGTCAAAGACTTGGATGGCCATAGGCCGGTTTTGAACCAATAGACAGTTATAGTCTACCGTTAGCGCGTTAGCGGAGTTAAGGGAATGGCGTTACCGTGCAAGCAAACGTTCTTTTTCTTATTTGATTCTTAATAGAGAGAAAAGAAGATAAAAGTGGGCCCGTAGAGGAGCACCGTTCTACATCGTAGTGCGACACTTTTCCACAGTAGCTCACTAGGTACGGTGGTAAGGAGGGATTAAAAGGATAGGATTAACATCTATAGAGAGATAGAGAGAGAGAGGGACAGGAGAGAGCGTGGCGCAGGGGCAGCGACATCCGGAAGTAGGAGAAGACAGTAAAGATTGACACGACCGCAGGAGTCCAAGGATGGGGCAACCACTCAGTGTGAGAGCTCTTGTCCGCGTCAGGATATGGCGTAGGGCCAGTCGCCAGAGCTGCGCTGTCGTGGGAGATCGCAGGGCGCACAGGTCGGCACGAAATCGAGAGAGCGAGTGCAAACGTTCGTTATGGACAGAGCGTCTTATAGTTTATCCTAAGAACACCTATATGCACCATCTTATAGTTCAGCGGGATAACGTTTGCGTGATATACTTCCTCAAGCTGGGACGGTGGCGTTACCTATCGGATGGTTAATAAGTTAAAGAACAGTGAAAAGGAAAAGAAAACAAGAATGTTTGCCAATGCTATTGCGTGAAGCATTGTTACAAGTTTATTTTAGTAATAATAAAAGTAAACAAATATGAACCACGCACCACACGTGAAAACATTTATGTTGCCGGTTCGGTTTATTCACATCGGTCTTGTAGCTAGGCCTAGATGCGTTCCAAATGGGAAGCTATCTCAAAAACTACGCCATCTTATCCGTAATATTCAGTCTTCGAAGCTAACTGAAAGCAAGCGAAGCCACTTTTAACTGGCTTACTGCAAAAAAAGGTGAATCTAGCTACAACTACGCCAAAATCACTACGAAGCTGGCGCCCGAGGGCGCTGCCATGTTTTCCTACGTACACCTAAACTACCACGGTAACGTTAAATCTGAATACCGCACGTACGGTAAGCGGTATACGTGTGACGTCCGTATCTGCGCACGTGAACTTCGATCCCGCTATCCCGGTAAGCCCGGTATACAATAACTGTCTAATGACTGGACACGTCCCGCCAACTGAAGGTACGGCGCTGCCTATGTGCCACTCAGGTTCTCAGAGGGCGAGGCTTGTAGCCTTGTTCTCCGTCGTACGCTATCCTATGGCTTAGCTCGCTGTATGCATTCAAAGATTCCCTTTACATATCTCGCTTCTATCCGTGTCAGCCAAAGGGATCTCCACCCACCTCTACTAAACAGCGCAACCAGCTTCGGGATCTTTTCCGTTCTTCTTGACGCTATAGTGTTTTCATTATACAATCAATCAATCACTCCACGAATGGTACTTTGAATGTTGTCTGAAATTGCGCCATACTTTCAAGTGGGCCAACGACTGCAGTGTGAGCCAATCGGATAGCACAACACCGTATAGCTAATCGGACGGGACAAATGGCCCCCTTCGAAAGTATAGCATCCCTAAGGTCTTACTGTAGATAATACGGTGTTGATCAGATTTGTCGCACCGTGCAGGAGTACCTGTATCGTTATTTTGCAGGTTGTGATAGACGTTCTGCAAATGATTCCAGTTTAAGGGAACGGTGCTATACTACAGCCAAATTGTATCAACGTGTATACACACCACGTACATAGGAACTCGTTAAAAAGTAAAATGCAGTTGATCGCTCATATAACTCAAGAACTGAAGATTTTCAGCTTAATGATAAGACAGCCCGCTTTAAAGCCGTTAAACTGAATACTTATTGCCATAGATATCCTACCGACGAGCAGCAGGTCAACTGTGTGCTTTCTTCTGGCACCCCCCCCCTTCCCCCGATTGTCAGGGACTTAAAATTTAGGCACAGCGTTGACGCCGAACTATGGTTACTTCAGAAGTCAATACAAACTGTATTACGTGCAGCCAACATTTACGGGACCCGACGACTTTCACGTGGATGGTCACACGGTCACTCGCGTGGACATGATGAACCAGATGCACTCGTTCGGCATATCCCACTGCGACCAGCTCCAAGCCACGGCGCTCGAGATGTCCCACATGGGCGGCAAGACGAGCATGGTCCTCATCCTGCCCGACCAGATGGACGGCCTGTCGCGTCTTGAGGAGAACCTGACCGCGCAGCGGCTGTCGGACCTCTTGCACGGCCTGCGCGAGAGGCCCAACGTGATGGTCAAGATGCCCAAGTTCTCGGTAGTGACCTGTCGAGGACTGCGGCTCGCCCTCCAGGATCTGGGAGTGCGCGAGCTGTTCACACCGAAGGCCGACCTGTCCGGTATATTCAAGGCCGCAAGTCCAGCCCTGGCCGACATCATCCACGGGGCCTTCCTAGAGGTGACTGAGGAAGGTGCCGAGATGCCCCCGCCTTCCACGGACGAGGCCGTGCTCGGATGTGGCCCTGGAGTCGGGGACATCACGCATTTCGTCGTGAACCACCCGTTCATGTTTGTCGTCAGGCCCCGGCAGTCGAACGTTTTTTATCTGATGGGATCAGTGAGAAGGCCATGAGCAACCTTGCTGTGACCCTCTTCGTCCAGATCATGGACTAGTTCGGCATTCCGGAGTATCGAGCTGGGAGGCCGTCGAGGGAGAACGCAAGCCGTCGGCGGTGGTCCTTCCCCATCAGTCGGTATTTCTGCCGACGGTGATTTTCTTACGATGCGTAATCAATTGAAAATATGCCTCTAAATAAAAAGACACTTTATTGCGACATGAGGGCTTTTATCGGAGAGCTTTACTTCAAGTAGATAAAGCTCAACGTTACTGAACGAGGCACAGAAGAGGTATCCCGACTTGGTCTGTGGTACCCTTCTTTTTGATGGTTGCTCCTTTTGCGTACGGTGATTTTCTTACGCTGTGTAATAAACTGAACATATGCCTGTAAATAAAAAGACACTTTATTGTGACATGAGGGATTTTATTGGAGAGCTTTACTTCAAGTAGATAAAGCTGAACGTTACTGAACGAGGCACAAAGAGGTATCACGACTTGGTCGTGGTACCCTTTTTTGATAGTTGCTCATTTTGCGTACCGTGAAAGAACGTTCCGAATAGCTTAGTAATGATGGGGGCTCCGAGCGTATTGCGACCGGCCGGCGCTCAGAAGCAACAAACAGTCCCAGTTGTCAAAATGAGTTCCTCTCGCAATGTACCTTTCGAAAGGCGCACAAGCATTTCGACAAATGCGTGCCCATTTTCTCTACTTGAGGCACTGTGTACTTGCAGTAGTTACCCTCAGAGAGAGGTTGCTAAGCCTCCAGCTTACGTTGTCACCGCTCTGCATTTTCCGTACAGTACCGGATTTATACCTTCAACGCAGCAGTGGTTGACAAACGAAGATTATGAAAATGAAACGTGACGGTGTGACAGTGCACACGACCATCTTGAATGGCGCCCGTAAAAGCTAAGACGGAGGTTTGAAAGGAACCATCAGTTGTGCGTTATTACGCACCTGGCACTGTACTAATAATCTGTTGGTGGCAAACCATTCGCACTCTCGCCAATCTTCATTCGAAACTGGAAACCTTGTGGCGTGACCGGCTGAATCCCCCTCCTTGCCCGATGTCTCGTCCTTCACCAAGGGATAAGGTCGCGAAACGCATCTTGTATTTAAGAACAGCTTCTTGCTGGGCGAGTTGATACATGTCTGTGCTAACGTTGAGCATACATTCAAACGAACATGGGAAGTAAAGAAGCGTTAACGGAAAGAGCACGAACTATCAACTTGACAGTTTTCGCTCTTTCCGTTTACGCCTATTTACATCCTGTGTTCGTCCGATTGTATGCGCAACGCTACATACCACAGAAAGGCCTCTTGATCATGAAGGATTTAGTTCGGGCGATACCGGTCGTTCCGGCCCTTACCGGAACTCTACCAAAACGTGAGAGGGCAGTGCAAAAAAAGGGGAACAAGCGGATTCCGCAAGATATATGAAGACATTGCCTGCCAGTAGTCCAAAACAATTTAGTAATGTTGCGAGGCAGCATATTCATCCTCGTAAGCACAAGAGTACTCGAATACAGGCTGAAAATATGCTATTTTGTGTTATACTTATATTCAATATCTAAAAGGCGCATGCGCTTAGGCGCGCACACAAACCACTAATCACGGATGACGCACGGAACTCATGAAAATGACCACATACGACTTGCTCTTCAACACGAGCAGCATGAACAGATGGTCGACGACGAAGTCCGTCTTCTGAGTCGTTGTCGTTGTCGGAGGAGAAGATGTCATCGCCATCGCGGGCGTGGATACCACAGGGTCCGTGCCGTCTTCATCGACCCGCAGGTACACCTTGTGGACCATATTCGACACAACGGGACTGCCCGATTTAAACATGCCCGAGAGGTTGCACTTGGCTGAGAACAGATCGCTCACGCCCATGGCCGTCAGGGTGTCCTTGAGATACAGACACTGTTGGAGCAAGAGTTTCGGCATGGTCACTTCGACGTCGGGCGTTTCCTTTAGGTCTACCAGGATATTGGACAGCTTGCCGTGGGACAAGTGATGCTCCAAGTGAGGACAGACCAGTCGATCTCGTTGGGCAGCAGTACGACCATGGAGCTCCGACCACCCTGTTGGGCATCTCGATGGCCCTGACGCCGAGATCGTCGTTCCGAGAGATGGCGAACGCCTGCTTCTGACTCATCATGTCCACCTGGATAATGATACGGGGCTAGCATAAATGATTATTTTTGTTTGGCGAGGCCATAGTCGCATATCTGTTACACGTACACACATGAACGACATATCAAAAGGCCCACAAACGCACCATTATGTGTATTTTGTATTCCGGCGAGGTGGTAGGAACGCTGCTGAAATACTTATTCAAGCTCGGAAGATGAGGCGGTACCATTGTGCGGACAATGCACAAAACATTGCTACAAAAAGTGAACTCAATAATGGTCTGCACGTGTGTCGTGTCACCGATGTGGTACATAGTAAGCATTCGTATAAAAAAAAAGTGTATGTATACTTGGTGCGTTTTTTATTGTTTTTATATATCTGTCGTATGTGTACGTGGGAAGAAATACACTTGAATCCCTCAATAGTGAAAGGCCTCAAGAACGAAATTGTCACGTGAAGGATGAACTCTTGCGTCCACGACGAAGTCCATAGTGTATCATGCATTTTCCCCAACTCTATTGCGAAAACATTTTAAAAAGCACTCCCGCAAGAATGAACGTTTCAGGTAGCGATGTGCATTTGTTTAGCTCATGTGCTAGCTGGCAATAAAGAAGTTCGAAAATTGCAGTACAGCTCATTCGACAAGTCGCGCACAGAAATTTCCACCAACACGCATCTGTGCGACCATACTTGTCATGGGCATCGGTTGGAGGGGTGCGAAAGAGATGCTTGTCCGCTCAAGTCAGATCAGCACTTATCCTAAACCCAACCAACATCAATGCATTCTGACCGCCCTCCCCCAACAGCGATGTCAACAAAGAATTGCACCCCCTGATGACTGATGACTGTTCGCATTCGGTTGCCATATGCAGCTGAATCGTGTGACGGATTTCGGCGTGAGCATCGTTGGAGCGCAGACACTGTTGAACTGGACTAATTTTCACGTGGTGGCACTTAGGATCATGTAGGCTCCCTATAATGAACAAGACCTGGTCATGCATGCGGAGTTTAGCGACGAAACTCTCCAAAGTGTGCGCATAAAGTATGAGAGTACCGACGACAAAAATTATGGTGAGGCAGTGATAAAAGAAGATAAAATAAAGTGCCTCTGCCCGTGCCACCGTGGTATAACAGGCCTACGACAGTGAAAAAAAAGCAACAAAACGCAAGAAAGACAGCAAGTAATATTGCGAGAAATTCTTGCTTTTAACATCAGTGGCATTTTTCGCGCCGTCCACGACGATGAAAAAAAATGCGAATTTAGTTTTTTTTTCTATTTTTGCGACTACAAAATTCTCACGATAACGAACAAACATCGCTTTCCCGGCAGGTTCGTTATTTAGGAGTTTCATAACCATTTCATAACCATTTCGAAACAAATAGACTTATGCTAACAACAACAATAATAATCATCATTGAATGTTCATTTCCTAAAACCACAATATCAGAAACGCCCTAGGGGAGGGCTCCGAAACATGCTGAAGTGGGCGTCACTACCCCGGATGACGCCTACTTCTCATCACGCTGCTGAGAAGAGTGAGAAGGCCGAGCGAGAACTATTACAGGACTTATTCGCGAAAACCTTGCGGTAGCATGTGCCCAGTTTTCGCTTCGTAGCTAGCACCCATTGGACCGCAGGGTGGTTTACTCACCTTTGAATAAGACGCTCTGGCGGGCTAGTATGATCATCTATAGCTTTTAACCGTTATTAAGCTGTGCGAAAATACCAAGATACAAGAGGCGTACAATCGCTCGTGGCGTTCTATATGATTCTTACTTTTGTGTCCTTGTTTTTTTCGCACAGTTTTATCATGTAAACACAGGCCCTTCAGCGTGTACCTAGACACAAGCACACGGGCTTCTACAATTTTGCATACACCAAAATGCGGCCACCACTGCCAGAAATTTATCCCGCCAATTTCGTACCCGAACCTTGGTCCTGGAGTTAACGTTAAAGTCGCGACGCGACGTCGAGCAGGCCGGAAACGGCGACTCCCAAGTCCCCTGAAGGAGGACGGCGTTGACCAGGAGCACTCCCGTGGAAGGGCCGACGCTACCGGGAGCCAAGAGGTCCGCTATCTTTGACTCGGTCACGGTCTTCACCCAGTCGTTGATCTCGCCGCGAACGGTCTCGCTGTGCTTCTCGAAGTCTACCGACACGATGGTCGACACGTATGTCGATTTGAGGAAGGTCACGTACTCCTCCGCGACCGGAAACGTCAGGTCGCAGTAGATGCGATTGGCGAAGTAGTACTGCAGCTTGTGCGAGTGGCTGGACAGCTTCGGCAAAAACGACGCGAAGTGCTCGTGCAGCTTGCCGTCCTTGCCACGCAGCGCTGCCAGCATCTCGTCCCCCGTGTTTCCACGGGACCCGGCGAGCGTCATGGACAGGGCGGCCGTGATACTGAATGGCGAAGAGGTGACGTTCTCTCTCTTGTCTCGTCTGGAGCGCACCAAATCCCTGTGCAGGTCCACGGAAAAGCGCACAATCATGCGACTTAAAGACTTGGGCATGACTACGGACGTCGGGGCCAGCGGAGCAGAATTCAAGTGCGCTAAGACCACACAGTCAACAAGTAGGAATCAAAGTGTCTTATTTTAGTCATTTATTTATTCTCCCGATAATCATCTTTCTTTTGCGGAAACACCAGTGGCTGAAGATGTCGCTTCACAGCTGTGGTCTCAATTGCCAAATTTATCGTAGCGTCAAAGCAGTATTACGTTTCTTCAAGTTACGTACCTACTTGAAGCTGGCAACCGGGACTGCTTGTCTTGTCTTGTCTCCTAGGAGATCTTGGCTCATACCCACATGGGGGATTGGCCACACTGTACCTCATAATAGATCATTTTTTACAACGCTTCGTGAAGATTTCTTCTTCTACCTAAACGATTTTGTGCACGCGCACACATTGGCTGCCGTGCACACGCGTTCGGCATCCGCGCCTTTGATGATGGTCATACCGTTTTCCTGATGGCACTGGTGACTTTGTTTTGTTTTTATTTTCGCCTAGGAGAAGTTGATCATACCCACAAAAAGGATTAGCTTTCTCCTTAGTACCTCCTATAAAGTTTTAGATGCGGAGCATCTCATACTCGAGGCTTGTAGTGCGGCGCCGTCCGCAAGCTTCCTCCTCCTTCTTCCACCATCTGTGCATCCCTTCCTCCTCTACACACCGCGCGCGCTTCACTCCTCCACCATCTGTGCATCCCTTCCTCCTCTACACACCGCGTGCGCTTCTCCTCTTGACGGACATTCGCTAGCTGTATAATGTAGCGCGCATGCGCCGTCGCGCTTCGAGAACATCGGCAGCTGACGCGCGCGCATGCGCCGTTGCGCTTCTCCCCCTTCTCGAACATTCGACAGCTGACAGTGCATGCGCCGTCGCGCTGTATATATACTCAAGGTCGGTGCTCGCTCGCTTAGTTGCCGCCTGCGGTTGGTTTGTACGGCGCATCGCGGAGAAGAGCTCGCGACGCCGAACGTAAACGTCGGCGTCAGGCGGAAGATGCTCAACTTAGAGAACGTGAAGCCGCTGAGAGACGTCAGCGTCGAGCAGCAGCACCGGATTCGGCCGCTTTGAAACGTAAGCGTCGACAAGAGGACCCGGACTTTCGAAAACGGGAAGCCGAGTGCAAGCGTCGGCGACGAGAGGCTCAAAGTTCATCGCAATAAATAAACACCGCCCTTTCGCATACGTGTCGTACGTGTTCACTCATTTAACACCCCTCCTACAACCACGTTAACCAATTTAGCCAGCGACCCAAGTAAGTCGCAATTTAACACCCCATTTCACAACCACGTTAACCAATTTAGCCATCGACCCAGGTAAGTCGCACTTTAACACCCCGTTAACCAATTATATGCTCCGCATCCTCCTCAGTGTTCCCCCGAGGGAAGCTGCGGGCAATTTTTTTTCTGTGTACTAACGACAAATTTACAAAAATATTTGTACGTAACTGATTGAATAATTGGTGACTCTTTTGATTACGTATGAATTTCTTTGACAAAAAGCAACGGATGTGCATTAACCATAACGCTACTCACGTCAAGCCTACACGCAGGTTTTCCGTTTTTTTTTTTTTTTTTTTTTGGTGGCTTGAGGCTTGAGTAAACATAGCGCAGTGGCAGGTTGGTTTGGTACGGCTAATTCCAGTAAACTCTAGTACAGAGTCTGGCCACCAAGATCGCGGTTGTTTAGAAATGGACGTCCGCGCTGGCTCTTCAAACGTAAGTCGCCGCATTAAAAAATAGACTTTTTCTCCAGCTATTAACAAGAATAAAAGTTTCCGAACTCTTAAGCAGCTTTGTGTAATGTTTAATCGTCTCACCAACAGGTTGTGTCGTTCGAGGACAGCGTGTATTTGTCGGACGACGAAGTGAGGAGCGAACTACGCAAACACGGTTACGGCGAGGTACCCTACTCGGTTCTCCAGCAGTTCAAACGTGGTATGCATTTCTATAGACATCATAAACTAGCGCGGGCGTAGTGTTGTGCTAGGCTGAGTCACGTACGTCGTTTCTGTTTTCCCCAGATTTCCAACGACGTATTCGTGAGGAAATTAGCAAGCAGGTCAGCACGTCAACGCCTCTTCTAAACGGTGCTCAACATGCCAGCGTGAGTAGAATTACACCGGTGCCGCAAGGTTTACCTGGTGGTGGGACGCGGTGGAAATGCCGCGACCGCTTTTGGTGGAAAATAAAACTAGACGAGTGAAAATCGTTATGCTACTAATAGCAATGTGACTGCTTATAAAATTTCGCGCCTTTATCATCAGAAGTTACTGGGCGGAATTTCTGATTACAACGCATCTGTTGCGAAGTGACCGAGAGAACTATACCGAGGAAGTACCAGAGGCTGAATAATGGACAAAGATGTTTATTAACTGTCTAGCGAAAGATAGTTTATGATTGATTGGCAACCTACCTCCGGAATGTGTATAATAGTGTGTATAACCAAGTCCAATACTGACAGGGAAACCCTACTCTCGATAAAGAAATCCACCGAAGAATAAGGATGGACTGAAGAACACTGGCTTATATTTGCACAAAACGGTCGACAGCTGTGACTCGTCTCGACAGACTAGCGACGTGCATGAAGATTGTTTCCTTATGCACTGAATGTTACAAAGCCAGAAATATTACCAGTGTTCATTTGAGTGTCGCCTTTAATAGTGGGCCGCACTGTACACTAGCGATTATTGGGAGAGGCCTTCATCTTGCGGTGGAAAAAAATGGTGAAAATGACGAATGACAGCGATAATGATTTTGTGAAATTTGCAGGTGTACATACACATCTCTCTTTCCTAGGCCCAACTGAAAGGCTCAGCTCTCGGTGCAAAGCAAGCTCGTTACAAGTCGTCATCTCTCTTTGAGAGCGTCTCGTATTCGTCCTGCTACTCCTCGCCTTACTATGAAGACCGCCGCACCAACAGCCGCAGTAAATCGGGGAGCGACGTGGCTACATGCAAACCACAACCACAACCTTCACGAAAAGTCGCTCCTGCTCTGCGGAATAACAGAAAGCAGGATGCGAGTTCGTCCTGCTATTCAACGCCCGCTGCTTCGTCCTCCGAACAAACGACCGACTCGAGCAAGGGCAGCGATCACTCTGGGGAGGAACCTGTCCCACGTGTACTGCATCGAAAAGTGCTGAGGTACGTAGGTGCTAGGCAGTCTCAGGCTGTAACTGATTACTACACTCGGGGACAACTTTCTGTGGCAATGAAGGGAAAGCTACAGGGGCGGAGCTACTGCCCTTGTACTCCTCCGCGATGCAGTCCGGTTCGGCTTGCGTTTCAAACGACGGCCGTGTTCAGGTAATCCCGCTGCACACAATTTGATACGTCGTCTTGTACAGCTATTTGCAAGTGAAACTCGACTCAATTTCCTTCAGCGAGTCGTCAAAATAGCTGAAGCGTGACGCGCGCTTGCCTAAAGACGAAGATGCCGTTTTTACTGCGAGGTGCACGTAAAACGTGCTATGTTTTCAGAAAACCCAAGGCAACTCATCAAAAAGTAGCAACAGACATAAATGTCTCCTGAGTGCGTGCAGCGTCTCTTTACAAACAGCATCCAGTTAATAACTAATGTTCCTTTTATTAATTTCACGCGGAAAACGTGGGCGCATTTGTCGCACTATATTCTACAGCGGTGGCACACGGCCACTTTGGCTCCGCAGCCTTCCCTTCATTGCCACAGAAAGTTGTCCCCGAGTATAATAAGCGGTTACCGGTACTAAATTAAATTTTCGGGTAACTTCTAACTGCAAGTTATTACAATTTTTTTTCATTAGAGTAACTGTTAGTAACACCGCTACATTTGATGCATTAAGAGCAACAGTATTACATTTGCTTTATTGTATTTGCATTAAAGGCAGCCATATACTATTTGCATTAAAAGTGTCATTATTTCCTTTCCATTAAATGCTGCGTTATTCCCACTGTAATGTCACAGTGGTACAAGCTCTAGCCCACCTCCTCAATGGGGAGGAAAGGCATGGACACTCTGTAGTTTTTTTACGATAATAAATCGCGCAGACCAACGTCGGAGAAAAGCCTCCTCTCCCAGCATGACTAGTTCTGTGTTAAGATGCATAAGCCTTATGTTTCTTAGCCGATGTAGTAGGGGAAACATGGCTCTCTGGGGACGTCCCCTCAGACGGGCCAGTCCCCTTCGTTTCCATAAGACGGAGGCCCCGATAGCCATTAAGAGTACGTCAAAGTTATCCCTGTGGCTAGACTTCCGCTGCATACTTGTTTGGAACATTCTGGTAACCATGCGCCAAAAGTTGCGTGCGACTATATGTCACAGAACGAGCGCTAAACAAGAGCGCGCCGCCAAATCCTTGCGACAACGGGCGGCAGAAACGCCGCGAGGTAAAAAGAAAAAAAAAAGAAAGCAAACATCCAGGGCTCCCGGGCGCGCGCTCTCCCCGCAGAAGCACGGCTTCGCAGACGATCCTCCTCACCCCACATCTGCGGCCCAGCAAGACCGCGATTTCTCTCGAACGAACGGGGCGGGGTCAGACCGAGCTGAGTCATCCGACGCGGAGGGCAGACAAACCGTCTCGCCTCTCCCCAGCCTTCGCTGCGTATCGCGCCGACGAAATGACGAGAAAGATCTGGAAAGTCGCGCGCAAGGTATTTAACCGAGCGGCCGAGACGACAGAACAGGAGGTGACGGAAGTTAACGCCAGAGCGCGTAGGAATTCCGCCGTGGAGTCGGCGAAGGTTCTGCCCGTAGTGACAGAACGGGAGGAGACGGAAGTGAGCGCCAGAGTGCGTAGAGAGTCCGCCGTGTAGTCGGCGAAGTTTTTGGTCCGTAGGGACGGCTCGAGCTACAGGCAAGAGCGTGGGTTTACCGCTATCGAGCGAAGACGCGGGCAACAGCTGCGTGTGGGAAGCCGACGGATTTCCGGCGAAGAAGTTGAAGTTTGAAGAGTGGCCAATTGAAGACGGGAGGTTTCCTGGAAGAGAACTTCGAGAGCGGCGGAACGACAACAACGCTGGACTTTGAGTGAGTGATTCTCGGAAGAGTATCATTCAGGCTTTTGTTCCAAGGACTTTGGACTGAATAGGTTTTATATCTCTTTAGTCTATAAGTGTCTTGGTTGTTCAGTGCATGCGACTGCATTGTAGCGCGTATTGTTGTCTGTGTCCGTTGTTTCAAGTGTGGTTGATTGTACTGTGTAGTACATTGTCTGTTTGGTGACGTATTGTATGTAACTATTGTGGAGTGTGCATACGTGTGTATTGTTTTTGATCTGCCGTTAATGAGAATATAATTTTGTTTGTTTATCAACTCTCGGCTCTGTCTTGTTCTTTGGACCACAGCCGGCGTCCGCTGGCGCACCAATAAGGACCACTTCTAAATTGTCCACGCTTTCGTGGTGCGGTTCGGGGGGCCGATACTTCGGCTCTTGGAATTAGCCCGGCGATCGCCTCCCTAATAAACGGGACAGGTGTGACAATTAATCTGGCGTCCGCGAGACAGGACTTTTTGGTGCACAGTGTGTCCAAAGTAGTAGGAAAGAGCCTCGAGTTGTTGATTGTGCTGTCGGAACGATTTTGTGTGTTGTTCAGTGTTCTCGTTAACGAGTGCAGGGGAGTGTTCCGATAGACTGATTTAGGCAGATACTTTTTGCACGCGGCAAGGTTGTATTTGCGAGTTGCGAGACACAATGGATCTCGAAAAGTTAGTTGCGCTTGGTGAGAAGATGGGTCTTTCCGGTGCCGAACTACGGAAATGGGTAAGCCAGAAGGAGAAAGAGGCGGTGGAGAGAGAGAGGTTGGCGGCAGAGAGGGCCAAGGAAGAAAAGGCAGCTGAGTTGGAGAGAGAAAGGCTGGCCGCTGAAAGGGCGAGAGAAGAAAGAGAAGCAAAGGAGCGACAGCTGAAGGAAGAAAGAGAGCAGCAATTGAAGTTGGAGCTGGAGAGAGAGAAGTTGGCAGCCGAAAGGGCGAGAGAAGAAAGAGAAGCGAGGGAGCGCCAGCTGAAAGAAGAAAGAGAAGCGGAGGTGGCTGAAAGGGAACGGCAGCGGCAGCACGAAATTGAACTCGAGCGGCTCCATTTGCAACAGCGAAACGAAACTCCCGTCCAAGCTAGAGTGGAAAGCAGCGAACGGGAAGATCACGGCTTCCGCTTGAACCCAAGCAAGCTGCTCGTAGCGTTTGATGAAAGGAAGGACGACCTAGACGCGTACCTCCACAGATTTGAGACGATTGCGAGGAGCCAGAATTGGCTTTAAGTTACTAAATGCATAGGTGCATCTACTTAAGAGTGTAACTTTAAAATTGAGTACCTCAACCACTGATTCATGTTTTCCTGCTTATGTGCTTCCTGGATGTTTGCTGGTAACATGCCCAGGTTTTCTTAAGAAGGCATTATCCTTAAGAAGACAGCCCTGGAAAGTGTCCAAAAAAATTAACGCCCATAATGCCTTTCGAAGAGGTCAGGATGTTGTGATGCTAATTTGTGAAGGAATGGGTCTACCAGCAATCAGTTTTATTATCCTGTAATCTTCATTGGTGTTTTAAGAGAGTTGCTATTTACTTTGAAAACTGTCTACTGATTCATTGTGTCTCAAGCACCCCCTCCCTCTCTTTCTACATATGTATTATGTTAAGAGTGAGTAAGCGCAAAACAGACAAGGACGTAGAAGAGACAGACACATTGGAGCGTAGTAAGGGTGTACTGTAGTTGAAAAGTTGAGGGTACACTAAGAAAAAAATTTTTTTTCTTGTATCGATGAATTATTTTTTAACAATGCGAAAGGGCTGTGCTTGCTGTGTAGGAGATGGTTGCTAAGCGAGACTCAGTAGTTCGACATGAGGTTTCAAAAAATTGTAACCACTTTCACGGAAACCCTTTCTCCATGGTCTTGAACGCATGAAATGCCCGAGGGCAATTTCATTAGGTTTTTGGACTTTAGGTATCTACTTTTCATCTGAGAAAGTGTGTTGGAGTTATGAGCCAAGGGGCAATAAGCCCGTCCTGCCGTTTTCCTCCGCCCATTCAAAGCTCGTGAAACGCGCCGTTGTACAATCCTGTTTTAATAACTCTCTTAGGAAGTCCTGTAATCACAAAGTTGAAAGCAGTTTTCTGAACCAAGCCAAGCGCTTAGCAGAGTCTGGTTACCCAATTTGTGTGCTGAGCTCTGTCGCAGAGGGTTTGAGCAGGAAGCTAAAACAACCCACCTAAATGCAGTAATGGTCGTACAGCAAAAAAAGTGGCCGTCGTTCCGTACTTGCATGGTGTATCGCATAATCTCAGAAGGATCGCGGGAAAGGCAGGAGTGGATGTGATCTTTTCAGCTCCCGAACGGTCTACATAGGTTGTGTCGACGCGTTAATTCACAGTGTAACAGTGCAAACACCTGCCTTATTAATCATCGAACAATTTTTGTGAACTGCATTCGCAATGTTGTTTATGCTATTCTGCTTTCTTGTGGAAGAACCTAATATTGGTCAAACTGGCCGATGTATCAATCAGAGATTGAAAGAACATCATTAATGTCACGAAAGCAATCTCGGGCCATTTGGGCATCCATTGCCGAGATTGTGGATGTATACCCCTCTTCGAAAAAACTAAAATTCTATCTAAGGCTCCTGGCAAATGACAAGGGAGATTATGAGGCATATGAAATCGCGAAATTATCTGACATGTGCGTTAGCCAACCATCAGTATCGCTTTCCTCAAAAAGAACTTCATTACCTTGATTCGACACAGTGACTTGTACTTTTACTATGTAGTGCAATTTACACGTGCTTGGTTCTACGATGTGATTCCGCGATATGTTCTTTATGTTTATGTTATTTCCGCTCGCTCGGTATATATTTATCGGTTCGTGCGAAAATAAAAGATCAGTTGAAAGTAGCGCTCTGTATGTGTCTGTCTCTTCTACGTCCTTGTCTGTTTTGCGCTTACTCACTCTTAATGGATTCAAACCAACTAGCCCACCAACGTGTTTTGGCAATGTTTATTATGTTAAACTACTCGGTACGATTTTTTTTTTCTTTTTTTCACAGATGCTTTAACGGGCATGCCTACATCTCGGAGCGGTCAACGTTGAGCTCGGACTCTCGAGGTAAGTTGCACATGTGGTATTTGTTTTCTATTGGCGGCTGTAAAAGTCCTTACAAAATATTGCGCACTACCACGCGGTATACTTATCTGATTGACTCATTCAGACCAATCACTAGCACTGATTGTGTAATGAAAAGCGTCTCACAATGACTGGTGTTTAGCTTGCATGCAACATATAACTGTCGCCATATAGTTTTCTACAGTATTTACTAGAAGAAACTCCGGTGCTAGTGTCGATGGGAGTTGCAACGCACGGTGCTTCAGTGAGCACGCTAATGATGTGCAGTACACGGATTTGTCTAATCGTCGTCCTTCCGGCTCCTTTTGGCTCCGTATGGCCTGCATCGGCTTTTGTCGCAAGGCGAAGTTCAGCAAACGTTCAGCAGTTCCACGCCTCCAGCTTGACATATTTAGGCTCACAGATTCAAATCAGCTTCCCAGTTCACAACAATCCATTCTATTATCTGAAACAAGCACCAAAACGCAGCAATAAACAAATGAAAAATTCGTAACCAGGGGTTGTGTCGAGCCGACATTTCGAGAAGCGAACTTGGTATTCCTCAAGGCTAGAACATAACTGTGAAATAATGCCTAATGCTTGAGACAGACAAGTCTGCTTGTCGAAACGTCGGCTCGACACAACCGCTGTTTACGGATTCTCATCACAAGCTTCCACCTTCCTCTTCCTATCGTTTTTGGAACAATAAACAAAGCCACAGAAGCATTTGAGGCCACAAGTGCGAAGACTAGCCAGGTCCGTGTGCTACCCATCATTCCTATGGTGGCTGAAAGATCGCAGTGCCAGTGTCCCCTCTAGCAAATATTGAAAGAAACTCTAGGCCTGTCATCATGCAGAATTCACATGTTCGCCCCCCCCCCCCCCCCCCCCCGTAAAATAAGCCAAAGTCCTATTGCTGCGCATCTGATTAATTTTGAGTCTCGTGTCTGCGGTTGCACGATTGAAAGATCAAAGAGTGATGGACCGAGTCGTAGCCATCGCATTGCTACTAAAGGGATTGTTTGTGACCATTTCTGAACAGTTACTTTGTGACTAACTCGGTCGCATGACCAGAGCAAGTTGCTGCGTGCGTGTGAACAAGCCTTCGTTATGTGTATTAAAGTGGTTATGCTACAGTAGTACGCATGTGCGACACCTTAGCGCACATTTTAATTGTAACGAGCTTGGCTTTTCTTGGTCTCGAAAAGATCTTGCAGGCAGTGTGCTGGAGAGCTTCAAGGAAAACTATTCACACTTGGATGGCGCTCTGGCGAAGAAGTCAGCCTCATTACCCCCCTTGAAGGTTTGTGTGAATGGTGCATTTTTACCTTTTTATCGTGTGGCTCCGCTCAACTTGTTGTAATTTGACACTTGTGGTTTGATTGTGCGCAACTTGGTTCTACATTTGCAGGCAGAACCCTTTCAGAAAGATCGCATCAAGCCACCGAAGGCAACCATGCTCTCATGTGAGTTTTGTAGTATATGCACTCAGAGTTCATTATAACAAAGTTGCATCTTACACGAAAATAAGTTCGTTATACTTGAAAACTTGTTATAAAGGTTTATTCTTACCACTATATTTATTGCAAGACTATTCTTCATTTACTTCGTTATAACCAATATTTCGTTATGTCAGAGTTTGTTATATCGAGGTTTGAGTGTACTTGCATTTTTTGTATTTGGGTGCTTTGCTTTTTACATCGACAGCAATTGCATTCAGAGCAGTCTTTATTCATGATAAAATGTTTGCTACTGAAATTAAACTGATCTGTGATGCCATTTAATTTTTTTAATTCTGTGGGTTATTGCTGCTAATGATATGTTGGCTATCAAATTTGTTGCACAGCCACAAGTAGACACACATAGCTTTGAATATTTATTTTTATTACCTTAGTATGATGCTCCAACTGGGTCATCCCCCATTACCTCTCATTGTGAAAGTTCCATTCAAAACTTTCTCTTAGCAGCAATATAAATCATAGTATATTTTTCTTTTATGAATCGTTATGAAAATACTGTTGACTGTCACTTGCAATTAATGTTAGCCACATCCTCAAGTATTCACAACGGATGCATAGCAGTTGTCCTTAGGGATATTGGAGCGTAGTAAGGGTGTACTGTAGTTGAAAAGTTGAGGGTACACTAAAGAAAAAAATTTTTTTTCTTGTATCGATGAATTATATTTTTACAATGCTAAAAGTGCTGTGCTTGCTGTGAGGAGATGGTTGATAAGCGAGAAAATGTGCAAAAAGAAAAAAAACATGACAACGCTGGAGCACTGTATGGGCCATTTTTTTGTGGGGAAGGGGAGGGGGTAGGGCTAAAGGAAACCTGCTCACATGGAAAGAAGCATGCTCTGGCCTGCCCAAGCCCAGCCCGGTGTTCCTAAATATGGCCCATACCCAGCTTGTCCCAAAACATTTGGGTGTGGCCTGACCAGTTTCAACCAATTATGGCTTGAGCGTAAACGAGGTGCTTTCCAATTTTGAGATATGTATTGTGAAGATACCAGCCTCACAAAAAAGTTCAGGAGTTCTGTGATAACTTGTGATTGTGTCATTACTTTAACTTGTTGGTATGGCATATACTCTTCTGCTAATTACTCCCATAACACATAAGCAAAATAATTGCAATGCAATGTAAGAGTAGGCGCATCTGACGGTCTCACGTACGCAGTGTTAACAACGTAATCTTAGTATTGCATTTCAAAGAACAACTATCAAATACAGTGGCCACATAAAGTGAAAAAATGGCAAACATCTTAAGTTTGATTTAGTTGATATACACTGCCGACAAGCTGGGGTTGTTGAGTAAAAAGAGCAGAATGCTTTCTGCAAACTTTGTCGCAAAATGCTACGAAAAAAAGAAAAAAACACGGTTGAACTGCTTCGGAAAAGGATTCGCCAGGCTGGGTAACATTACATCAACTGAAGCTCTCATTTCGATTCCTGCACACACAAGTGCCCCTGTGTAGTACACTTTGTTCTAGCTTGGAAAAAAAAAAGGGGGGGGGGGGTTCTCTCCCACACCCTTGTTACCCCATTTCCTGCCACCACAGTGCCATAGATCTGTCAATGCGAGCCCCACATGTTAGTGAGGCAGCTACCATTCTTGCCGTTTCCTGAAGATGCCTGTCCTGTCATGCTTGTGTAACTACCTTAGTTTTACGTCTCAAAGCAAGACCGGACGCCCTAGCCAGTGGCTTTTTTAGTGCTCCGCATCGAACGCGGCGGGTCTCGTTTTCGGAGCGCGGCTCTTTGGAGTGACTGGAAGTGGGAGAGTGGCTCCCCTAGTAGCGGCCTCGATGCGAATAGGCAGCGGAGTCTGGCTGGCTGTGGCTCGCAGTTGTGGTTGTAGGCTTGCAGCTCGTAGTGATGTCGCATACCAACAAAGGATTAATGCTCCACGCCTTTGTACTGTGCTTTATCTCGGTGCACGCTAATGAATACCCGGGGCCACACACTACAGTGTCTCGCATGGCCCGAGTCGTGTTGGCAAGTTGAACGCCACATGAAGACTTAACCAAACATTGGCATAAGTGCACCATTACCGAAACGTTTTAGACCTGGGCCTATACGGGTCTGACACAGGCCCGACCCAAGCCCGAAGCTCATAAGCCCGAGCCAGGCCAGGGCCTTGTCTGACAACTTCTTACCCATCCCCACACCCTCGCCCCCTGGTCTATGTAGGGCCCTAGCTTTCAGGTAATCCGAGGCCCATGCAGTTCTCTAGGCGACGCTCTATTGAAATTCCCACACCAACTTAGTGAGACGTCATAGATCTTGGCAGCGTGTGCTAGGGCTTGCATGATTATGTACCAGAAAAAACTGTGCGTGGCGTTCTGAAGGAACATAAGTCTCACCGTATCAAGTTTCAGAGCATTTAATTGAACCAGCGTGCCAAATTCACAAAAAGATTGAAACTTGTGACATCACAGAGGGGTTCACGCACTGAAGTTTCTGCGCAAGATTGAAAAATGAACCTTTATTTGCTCTTGTTATGGTGAACCTATCATGGTGAAATATTTGGCAGTATTGTTCTGAAAGCATAACGTATGTGTAAACTGTTCTAAGGTTTAACTTTAGTGTCTCTTTAATCAGCCACTCGGTGAACGAGACTCTTTGCGCGCATAACTTGACCTTTGGTCGCAGTGCTCAAGGTTTCGGGCACGAAGGTCATGTGGAACAGAGGGCCGCACAAGTGCGACCCTGTGACCCGGTACCACGAGTACAAGGCCTTCTGGGAGCGTCACAAGGCACCTGGTGAAAAGGCCCACAAGCAGCTCAGGTGGAATGTGCGGGCGCAGATGTTACGACGGGACGACGTCGTGGCGGTAGGTCATCGTATGTACTATAAATCGTCTCCCTCGATATGATATATCTGGCAAATGTAAAGCTTTGTTGAAATAGTGCTGGATTTACTCGGCTGTTGCCTTCGGTTAACTCCGCAGCTACTTCTAATCACCCGTATGATGCAATGGCCTACATGCTGACATTATTGCAGTTTCTGAAATGGCATACAGTTCGTGGAAACTGCTGATGTCTTCTTGCAACCTTTTTTGTTCTCACCATGTGTGGTGCTTACTACCTTCAAACAGGAGCATAAAACACATGTCTTGTGAAGCACAGTGCAGCACGTGTGTGACTCGTGTGAACATTCATCGTTCCTCACTCGCGGTTTGCTTTGGCTAGTGCAACCCATTGCTGAACTGTTGCAATGTGACCAATGGAAGCTTGGTGCAACGCAAGTGATCCAGTGCTTTGTTGCGAGTTTTGAGTCTACGATTTGTGAGCTCAAAATATTTTAGTTTCATATTGGAAGTCTATCAGTTGCTAAACAGTGTTCATGTTTAGTGTGCTATCACAGGTCAGCTGTGAAGTTCATTATGCCCTCTGAATTTCACTATGTTCACTGCTTTTATAGCGTATAGTGATGACTACTATGCAAAAAGGTGTGCCAAAAAGGCTTTAGATACAGTGACAAGTCATCGTTTTTGCTTTGTTTGTGGGGTTTGTTGAGATTTTGTCTAAACTCGCGCATACGGGCGATGTTTTCTAGAAAAAGAACAGGAGAAAAATTGCCGATTCGACCACAGTGATTTGTTGTGACTGTTTCATGCTTGCAGTGTTCCTGGAGGCCAGCTATCACAAAAGAACCACCTGCCACACGGCCGAGATGAGGCGCAATCTACATAATCTTACTTCTTAGGGCACTAAGACTCATCATTTTTTACGTCATTTTCGAGGCACAAACTGTACATATCGCATTTTTAGTGTGGTTGTCAGAATGTATGTGCTAACGGAATCTTAACATTCAGCTGCAGATGTCTTAATGCACCGTGTAGTAGCTATTCAAGAACAAGAAAATTGAACATAGACATGCCTTCTCTCTAGATTGATCAATTTGCGAAATGTTTCATGCACGAGTAAATGAAATTAATGTGTCTACGCCCTCTTGTTTACTAAACCTACCACTGGCATCGGTCAGCTCTTCTGTACCCTTGACAGAGATCTTGTGTTGTTATTGACGCTCGTTGGAAATTTCGTGCTACTGATATTATGTACTATAGTACAGACAAGTGCTAGTTAGGTAGTTTGTGAGATTACGATCTTCTGACGGAGGAGGCTCGTGCGCTAAGGTTTAGGAGCCTGTTTTAAAACGCTAGATGTCCAGAAGTTGCAGAACCCTCCACCGCGGCCTCTTTCATAACCGTATGACGGTTTACGGATGCTAAATCTTAGCAATTATTGTCATCTCTCTGAATTGTTATTTAGAAGAGCCGTATATCTTTCCCGTTTGTTGACCTTTAATTGAAATAGCAGATATACACAAACGCATATCTACATATACGCATTGGCCTCGCCATCGCTGTCATGTTCCTCAAGTCCGAATCGACAACGTCCCCCCGCGCATCGTAGGTTCTGTTCCCGGGCAAAAGTATGCGAGTGGGGGGAATGAACGGGGCTGAAACAAAGATGAAACGAGCCGGCTTGTCCCTGTGGCTCAGACCGTGCGTCGCTGCGTCACCCTGTTTTGTCAACGACGGAGAATCTTCACTGGCTGACCGAAAGGGGCCTTGCAACACTTTTTGAGCACGGTCAGAAAACGCTGGCGATCGGTAGTCGAGGCTCCCAAGAACACCCGAGCCAAATATTGTACAGCATCACCTGGCCTGGAATTCGCAATCCGTTCTCAAAGTCAGCTAGAAATTTATTTAAATGTAAGTGCGAGTTTTTTTTTCCACACGTTACGCTCGAGCACTGAAGTTCAAGTTGTCTAGGAAGTGAAGTCATGCACACAAATCTTGACTTTTTTGTTTCATTTTTTTCTTTTGGATGCATTGAAAAGTGATCCCTCTCGTCACTTTTATGGCCACGTTACACTCGAGTAGATAAAGCAGCCAATTTTTGCTTCAGTTCAGTTTCTGAAGACATGCGGTTCATGTTATTAAGTATAAAAAAATTCCGCAAAAAAGCATTTTAACTCACAATACTGACTATGCTAATTTGATGTTCAAGAATTTCAGGTATGAACGCACCTTTGTTAATTCCTTTTGGTAAAGATGAATCGTGTTGTACTTTAGAAGTGGGTAACACTGAGGCTTGTGAGCTTAATAAGCTCCATGGTACTTCAGTGGTGTAAATGTGCAAAAGTAGAGAAAAAAATTTAATCTCAGTGTGATCACATGAACCAGTGGTCATCGTCTGGAGCAAATTACAAATAATGAAAATTAAGATGGTGTTGAGTTTATTGGACCCACATATCTTTTCTTTTTTTGGTTGACTACCTTTCTTTTTCCAGTCATGGTACTTTGAATTTTAATTTTCTTTTTTCTGTGCGTCAGCCTATTGCAAAGAAATTATTGTACATGGTGTCTTGATGTGTTACTTAACCAGTCTTAACTAATTTAGCTTACATTTTGGCTACTTTAATTTCTGCGTGGACGTATTCATATTCAGAGGCCGTCATAGCTTCGTGTCTAGTTTGCAAGTTTGCAACATTGTGCTGAGCAAACTGCTTTGCAAAGAAACTAAAGTGGGCCCTCGGAACATACATGGCAGTATTGATACTACTGCAATGAAATTAGAGTGCTAATTCAGTTACTTCTTTCTGTAATGGGTAATGCAATCAATTGTTAATGTGGCCTGGTAATTTAATAATGTAACTAATTACTTTTGTCATGTTATTAAAATATAAATTATTTCCCGATTATTTTTAACTAAAATATTTCACATCTCTAAAGGTATAAAACTTACCGGCAAAAAAAAAATGAGTGAAAAACTCAATGGCGTGAATGATGCAGGCGCGCAGAAAAGACTCACATCTCAACTGAAAGTTTTGAATAAAGTTGCTTGATTGACTTGTGAAAGTAACTTTATTACTTTGCAAAAGTAATGGTAATGTATTGTCATTACGTTTGACCAGCTGTAATTTAGACTAATTTTAATCATTTTAAGTAGTAACAAGCAATGTAACTTTAGTATTTTTTTTTTTTTTGGAAACTCTCTGTGGTACTCCAGTGGCTATAGGGCTAAACTGCAGACCCAAAGCTCGCAGGACCGAATCCTGGTTGCGGTGGCTACATTTCCATGGAAACAAGATGCTAGAGGTCCGTGCACTTAGATTTAGGTGTACATTAAACAACACCATATGGACAAAATTTACAGAGTCCTCCGCTATGGCGTCCCTCATGAACATAATGTGGTTTTGAGACGTAAAAGCTGAACAGTTATATGTACATTGTATCAATATTATTGCTTTCCAAGAGTAATTCCCCCCTCTCTGCCTCTAAACAAGAAAGAGTGCTTACAAATTTTCAGTACCAAGCAAGACAGTATGCAGCAAAAGTGTGAAACACGTACGTTTATTCGTACAAATGTCTGGGTTCGTTTGCTCAGCGACTATAATGAAAACTGTTAGCGGATGGGGGACGATTTACAGGTAGGGCCTTCTGTAGTCTCGCTGCGCGACCTCTTTGCCGTCAATTCTATGAAGCTGGTAGAGGAGCTTGTTCTCGATTTCCTCGACAGCAGAGAGAGTCAGAACGAGTGTGTCGTGCTTCAACATGCTGTGTACGTTGAGTCCTGCAAGAGCAACCGAAATTAGGCTTGGTGCACCAAAAGCACTCTTGGGACCGAAAAAATGACTGCACACATAGGTACAGCAGTTCACTGCATCACTTGATCAAAACGTCACTCTTCTCGCTGTCTGTGGCACGATGTGGCGGGGCTTCTTCGTGAAAATAAATGTTAACATTGCAGCTGAACTGCTTTATGTACACTTCATTCACATGAAATTATGAAGCATTTTCCAGATAGTTAGGAACCATGACACGGCAACCCAACAATTTGTGGTTCTTAGCGAAAAACAGGTGTAGAAGGTCTATAGTGCAAACTCATATATAAAAAAATTGACAAGGAAAAATTATTTCTCGCAAAATAAGCCCTAGAAGTCACTGGCTTTAAACTCTGTCCACTGCTGGCGACAACCATTTTGCCATGATGTGCATGACCTGTACTGCATGCATCGTAGCAGTAGTCTTCGACCAAAGTTTCAAGTTGCTGCAAATCGTTCAACTTTAATGCCAACTGCACGTGCGGCTGACTGCGGCATGAAATTGTTCGCCGGAATTCGCACGCTCACACAGCAAGCCTGCGAGCAGCTTGCGAGTGTGTCAGTGTTGCCCGATTCTGTCGGGCTACTCAAGTTTTTACAAAACACTGAATTATAAATAAGGTGCTCAATGAAATGAGCTAAAAAATTCCACAAGAGTGCTTGTGAATGCACGAGCTTTAACCCACATGACAGTAATTACGATTGGAAGTTGGGTGTCACGGCCACTTCAAGATACTGTCTCAAGGTTTTCACGAAGCTGTAAACTGTAGCAGCACTTGACGGTGTCATCAACCACCCTTTGGGCTGGTGAGAAAACAAAGCCTTTGGACAGCAGACACTGCCGTGAAGATCGTGCCCAAACCTTGCAGTTGTGCGCAGCAAGGAGAGCTGACAAGTGGACCGCGAAGTTGCACTTTTCTGATGCACCCACTTCTCCTACGCAAACTTCACGTCGCTCGCTTCAAAGCTGGCGATACTGCTATTGGGCAACAGCTTAAACAAATCAAGAGTGGCATTAGATCAGATGAGCTTCTTTGGCATGGGCTGCTGGCACATGCCTGCGCTGTGCTCGATAGCCTGCCGACATTGCGCACTGCGCAATGCGTTCATCACGCACACTGACGTAACGTCTTTCCCGCGTGCCATCCTGCCCAGTGTAGCTTGCCGTGTGAGTGGTCCTTGTGACTTGAGAATGGAGAAACTGCTTAAAAAAAAATGCCACGGACGCCTACATTTCTGCTCATTCTAGACGAGTTCGAGAAATTTTGCGGCAATCGATTTGTGAGCCAATAAACTGGTCTGGAGGCCATTCAATGCCTACTTGGAAGAGTAGCTCATGCTCTGAAAAAAAAAAAGTAATTTCCAAGTACGAAAGCCAATGTTTTCTGGCATGACTCTCGAAGCACGGCCTTCTTGGTGGACGTCTTACCACAAGCAAATGTGGAACAAAGATATGGACGCTCACCATAAACGGGCATTATGTTGAAGTGCTTCACTTCGTCGCAGATCAGGGCTATGTTTTCAGGGACATAATCTGTGCTGGAAGACAAAAGAGTGGCATATATTAATTACATTGCTACAAGATTCTGAACTTTCAAATGATGCTGCGTGCTCTCGTATAAGTACTGGAAAGTGCAGATTTGATGCAGGAATAACACTGAACCAAGGACAAGCGTGGGACTTTCCTGTGTTCTGCATTGAACCTGCACTATATAGTCAGTATTTAAATATTCATCAACTAGCCCAGCAACAAAATTTGTCGTTTACACTTGGCGTTTTTCGAGTTCAAGGGACTAACAACCGGCCTGAGTGTGCGATTACATCTTAGTGGAAATGAAACGACCATGAAATATAGTGGCAGATTCCAGCATTTTTTCTCGCGTTGCGACTAGGATTTATATTCTTAAATTGTGCTTAAAAGTAACATAATCATTCTGTGGCACTACCTAGCAGAAAGCCTTGAAGCTAGATTATAAAATATGGAGGCCCATCACTTTGCTGAACGTGGGTCCTGTAGTGTGATGTTGTCGTGTGTTCCAGTTTTCAAGTTAGAATATGTATATGAATTATCCAGCCCCTCTCAATTCTGTGCTGCTTACGACGTCAAAGAAGTAGCACCGTGAAAAGCAGTGCTGCCATCGCGGCTGCCAGTGGAATAAGTCGAGCCGCGGTGCGAAGTGCACGCACTGTGCAGTACACCACTGCGCTCGAACATGAACTGCCCGCACGCTCATGGTTTGCAACGTGTGAGCATACGAGTTCATGTTCGCTGCATATAGAAAAATTTGAATACAAATGTTTCGCAACGTTTTGCACTTTGCCATTCCGAGATCAGACTCACTGACGAGTAAGATTTCCTTCGCGCGGTTGTTCGTCCCTTTAAGTTGCCAAGTGTCACGCATATATCTGGAGTTTTCAGTTGTTTACAGTGAAGTAGGCAATCTTGCAAGTAAAAACAATGTCAGCAGCGGCACAAAAACACAAACATTATGCTGCAAAATGGGATGTTAGAACTTTTTGTCCATTCTAGCCATGTATTGGAACACTGATCTCCAAGTGAACACCTGTTGAAAATACCAACTCACAACCAAAACTCCCTTCTAACAAACAAACATAACACAAACAATTTTAACTGCAAACATGAGGTGACATTTTTTGTACAGTGTATCATGTGTAATAGAGGCTCGAAATCACCGCGATCCATGTGTCTTGAGGCTTTGAACACAACATGCAGATGTGTATAAAAGTTCCGAAAATCCAGATTTTCTTTTTTACATTCTACCGAAGCTGCAGACACATAAAACAAATATAATTGACAACTTCCACTGATAACCTTTGAAATTTGTCTGGTCATATTGAAAGACAGTTTTATTTATTTCAGATTTGCTAATTTTGCAAATGTCGATGCTAAAAGAGCCCTGCAACACTTTTACGAGTAGCCGCGTAATGGATTCACTAATAGAACATATTGCCCCACGAATTCACCGCTGGAAGAAATTTCGGAATCTGTTTTGTAGGAGCGAAGTTACAAAGATTGTCGCACACTGCAACTGCATTCTTTCTTCTCTCGTTGTGACAAAAGTGCTGGCAGGGATGGCACAGGGAAAGAAAACGTCACGCGTGCCTCATGACTTTGAGCAATTTCTATCCCCTCCCCCCCCCCCTCCAGAATACACAGTTTTTCAGTGCGATTGTGCGCGCACGCATGGACAAGTCGCAGCTTTCCTCAGCAGCTGCTGTAACGACCGAGTGTGCCATGCTCGAATCAGCCAATGGCTGATATAGTGGCTGTGACGAGTGATTTCGAGCTTGTATTGTCATTTGCCGAAAGAAAAGAAAGCGGTTTTTAGCTGACTTTGAGAATTCATTGTAAACTCCAGGTCAGCTGATGCGCTGCATATTGGCTTGCGCATTTTCAGGAGCCTCGACTACCGATAGGCGCAGCATTTGCTGACCATGTCGAGAAGTTTTGTAGGCCCTTTTAATATACGTGGAGTTAGAACAGAAGAAGACATGCATATGCAAGCATTACTAAACGTAAGAGGAAAAGCTTAAGGTTCAGAGTCAACTGAATTTCTGGCATGCGAGCAACGTACTTGTCCACAAACAGCACCGAAGGTCCCCAGAACCTTTCGTCCACCAGCTTCAGCAGATACTGGAACAGAGAAAGCAGTGCATGCGGCTGCGGCTTCTGCAGTTAGAAGCATTGAAAGAACAAAAATCTTTGTATATTTAAAATATGCTGCTTACAAAGAATCGCTAAATATATGTGGGCCAGTTTTCAAGTAAAATGTATATATACTGAGTTACTAATTTACCTTGAGAACTCGAGCGCCCCCGTGATTGGGAGCGGGCCTTGGTCTAGAACCTCTTCTGGAACGCGACCTCCCCCTGGAGTGTGGGCCCGCCTTTCCTGTTCTTGTGTAGTCGGGATGCTCTGGGTCCCGTAGGCTGGAATAAGCTGCTTGTCATTGATGTCTGGACTCGATGTGATTGATGCGTCCCGGCTTCTGCGGCTGCTCGCGATCTTTCCCAACGTCTGCGTCTGACGACGTATGGCACTAAGAACCTGTTCTTGCACTCCTTGTCTGCCGTGGGATGGTGACCGTCGCACAGCCTGCATCTTGGATTGCACTGGTGCAGGCTATCTGGGTTCTTGATCTCGCAGCCTCTGCAGATTGTTTCAGCTGGGTTCGGACAGACGTCAGACCGATGTCCCAGCTTTCCACAGACGTAACAAATATCGATGTTCTTGCGGTAAAGGGAGCACTGCAAAAGTGAAGGTCCATATCTCACGAATCTGGGCACCTTGTGTCCTTCGAACGCTATGATGATTGTCCCGGTGTCCTTGATTCTTTCGCCTGCAGCGCGAGCGGGTTGTTCGCGTTCACAATCTTTCGGGTCAAGATGTCCTGAGTATCGCTTACGGGGATCCCGCGAATCATCCTTTACAAGTGTCGTGGGGTGCCGCGGCGTACGCGCTAACCTCGAAAACTTTGCCTCCAATGTCAATTTGCTTGACCTTGAGGTATCTTGAAGCTCTGTCTTGGTCCGGAGTGCTTGCCACCATAATGTTCTGCTGCAAGTTGGAACAGATGATGTCCTGCATGGCCTCTTCCTCTTTGACGCCGGCCGCCAGTACTATCGCGTCTGCCACGGCTCCAGTGCCAATTCTCGAGATATTTAATCCTCCACGTGGTCGTAGCACAATTTTGCTGAAGTCCTTAGGTAGTGGCGGCATGCGTCCAGCTCGCACGATTGTATGCTTGGTGTCATACCTACTACGACTGGCTCGAGCGTCTCCCACAACGCCGGCCTCGGTCGAACCCTTGGCAGCAGAACGCTAACCGCGGCTTGCTTATTCCTTGAGCGTCTCGTTTCGGCTTCCTTCCAACCCATTTCTTCCGTGCAATCCTCTGGAGAGATGTCCTCTCCATCTACTTGGTATTCCATTCTCAGTTGCAGATACTGGAACGCGCAGAGCGTTGAGTCGCGTTGGCGCGGGCCGGCGCATCGGCGACAATCGCCTCCTTGGTTAGGCCTAAATCCCCCGGTGGCGGTTGCCGTGTAAAAATGTCCCAAAAAACTGTTTAAAAGTTCACTCCGGCACAAAGGTGGTATCTGCTGATTTCTTGAGAACTTAGGCACACGATGAGAGTAAAAACTCGGCGACAAATTCGTGAATATCACAGGAAAGCATTCTTGAAAGCAGGAGCCGATCTTCGCGCGTCCGCACTGGTCGGCACCTAGAGCGTCTCCCCTTTTTTTTTTGTTGACTACCTTTCTTTTTCCAGTCATGGTACTTTGAATTTCAATTTTCTTTTTTCTGTACGTCAGCCTATTGCAAAGATATTATTGTACATGGTGTCTTGATGTGTTACTTAATCAGTTTTAACTGATTTAGCTTACGGTTTGGCTACCTTAATTTCTGCATGGACGTATTCATATTCAGAGGCTAGCTTCGTGTCTAGCTTGCATCATTGTGCTGAGCAACTGGTTTTCAAAGAAACTAAAGTGGATCCTTAGAACATACTTGGCAGTATTGATAATACTGCTATGAAATTAGAGTGCTAATTCAGTTACTTCTTTCTGTAATGGGTAATGCAATCAATTGTTAATGTGGCCTGGTAATTTAATAATGTAACTAATTACTTTTGTCATGTTATTAAAATATAAATTAATTTCCCGATTATTTTTAACTAAAATATTTCACATCTCTAAAGGTATAAAACTTACCGGCAAAAAAAAAATGAGTGAAAAACTCAATGGCGTGAATGATGCAGGCGCGCAGAAAAGACTCACATCTCAACTGAAAGTTTTGAATAAAGTTGCTTGATTGACTTGTGAAAGTAACTTTATTACTTTGCAAAAGTAATGGTAATGTATTGTCATTACGTTTGACCAGCTGTAATTTAGACTAATTTTAATCATTTTAAGTAGTAACAAGCAATGTAACTTTAGTATTTTTTTTTTTTTTTGGAAACTCTCTGTGGTACTCCAGTGGCTATAGGGCTAAACTGCAGACCCAAAGCTCGCAGGACCGAATCCTGGTTGCGGTGGCTACATTTCCATGGAAACAAGATGCTAGAGGTCCGTGCACTTAGATTTAGGTGTACATTAAACAACACCATATGGACAAAATTTACAGAGTCCTCCGCTATGGCGTCCCTCATGAACATAATGTGGTTTTGAGACGTAAAAGCTGAACAGTTATATGTACATTGTATCAATATTATTGCTTTCCAAGAGTAATTCCCCCCTCTCTGCCTCTAAACAAGAAAGAGTGCTTACAAATTTTCAGTACCAAGCAAGACAGTATGCAGCAAAAGTGTGAAACACGTACGTTTATTCGTACAAATGTCTGGGTTCGTTTGCTCAGCGACTATAATGAAAACTGTTAGCGGATGGGGACGATTTACAGGTAGGGCCTTCTGTAGTCTCGCTGCGCGACCTCTTTGCCGTCAATTCTATGAAGCTGGTAGAGGAGCTTGTTCTCGATTTCCTCGACAGCAGAGAGAGTCAGAACGAGTGTGTCGTGCTTCAACATGCTGTGTACGTTGAGTCCTGCAAGAGCAACCGAAATTAGGCTTGGTGCACCAAAAGCACTCTTGGGACCGAAAAAATGACTGCAACATAGGTACAGCAGTTCACTGCATCACTTGATCAAAACGTCACTCTTCTCGCTGTCTGTGGCACGATGTGGCGGGGCTTCTTCGTGAAAATAAATGTTAACATTGCAGCTGAACTGCTTTATGTACACTTCATTCACATGAAATTATGAAGCATTTTCCAGATAGTTAGGAACCATGACACGGCAACCCAACAATTTGTGGTTCTTAGCGAAAAACAGGTGTAGAAGGTCTATAGTGCAAACTCATATATAAAAAATTGACAAGGAAAAATTATTTCTCGCAAAATAAGCCCTAGAAGTCACTGGCTTTAAACTCTGTCCACTGCTGGCGACAACCATTTGTGCCATGATGTGCATGACCTGTACTGCATGCATCGTAGCAGTAGTCTTCGACCAAAGTATTCAAGTTGCTGCAAATCGTTCAACTTTAATGCCAACTGCACGTGCGGCTGACCTGCGGCATGAAATTGTTCGCCGGAATTCGCACGCTCACACAGCAAGCCTGCGAGCAGCTTGCGAGTGTGTCAGTGTGCCCGATTCTGTCGGGCTACTCAAGTTTTTACAAAACACTGAATTATAAATAAGGTGCTCAATGAAATGAGCTAAAAAATTCCACAAGAGTGCTTGTGAATGCACGAGCTTTAACCCACATGACAGTAATTACGATTGGAAGTTGGGTGTCACGGCCACTTCAAGATACTGTCTCAAGGTTTTCACGAAGCTGTAAACTGTAGCAGCACTTGACGGTGTCATCAACCACCCTTTGGGCTGGTGAGAAAACAAAGCCTTTGGACAGCAGACACTGCCGTGAAGATCGTGCCCAAACCTTGCAGTTGTGCGCAGCAAGGAGAGCTGACAAGTGGACCGCGAAGTTGCACTTTTCTGATGCACCCACTTCTCCTACGCAAACTTCACGTCGCTCGCTTCAAAGCTGGCGATACTGCTATTGGGCAACAGCTTAAACAAATCAAGAGTGGCATTTAGATCAGATGAGCTTCTTTGGCATGGGCTGCTGGCACATGCCTGCGCTGTGCTCGATAGCCTGCCGACATTGCGCACTGCGCAATGCGTTTCATCACGCACACTGACGTAACGTCTTTCCCGCGTGCCATCCTGCCCAGTGTAGCTTGCCGTGTGAGTGGTCCTTGTGACTTGAGAATGGAGAAACTGCTTAAAAAAAAATGCCACGGACGCCTACATTTCTGCTCATTCTAGACGAGTTCGAGAAATTTTGCGGCAATCGATTTGTGAGCCAATAAACTGGTCTGGAGGCCATTCAATGCCTACTTGGAAGAGTAGCTCATGCTCTGAAAAAAAAAAAGTAATTTCCAAGTACGAAAGCCAATGTTTTCTGGCATGACTCTCGAAGCACGGCCTTCTTGGTGGACGTCTTACCACAAGCAAATGTGGAACAAAGATATGGACGCTCACCATAAACGGGCATTATGTTGAAGTGCTTCACTTCGTCGCAGATCAGGGCTATGTTTTCAGGGACATAATCTGTGCTGGAAGACAAAAAGAGTGGCATATATTAATTACATTGCTACAAGATTCTGAACTTTCAAATGATGCTGCGTGCTCTCGTATAAGTACTGGAAAGTGCAGATTTGATGCAGGAATAACACTGAAACCAAGGACAAGCGTGGGACTTTCCTGTGTTCTGCATTGAACCTGCACTATATAGTCAGTATTTAAATATTCATCAACTAGCCCAGCAACAAAATTTGTCGTTTACACTTGGCGTTTTTCGAGTTCAAGGGACTAACAACCGGCCTGAGTGTGCGATTACATCTTAGTGGAAATGAAACGACCATGAAATATAGTGGCAGATTCCAGCATTTTTTCTCGCGTTGCGACTAGGATTTATATTCTTAAATTGTGCTTAAAAGTAACATAAATCATTCTGTGGCACTACCTAGCAGAAAAGCCTTGAAGCTAGATTATAAAATATGGAGCCCATCACTTTGCTGAACGTGGTCCTGTAGTGTGATGTTGTCGTGTGTTCCAGTTTTCAAGTTTAGAATATGTATATGAAT